ATCATACTCAAACATGAAAGCTTTTCTTCCAAAATCAAGAACAAGATAAAGATGCCTCCTCTCTCTCACCTTGTCTTTTTAACATAGTCCCAACCAGAGCAATTAGGCAAGAAGGAAAAAAAAGGGCATCCAATTTGGAAAGGAAGAAATAAAACTGTCACTATTTGCAGGTGACATACAGAAAACCCTAAAGGTACCATCAAAGAACTGGGAGTACCAATAAATGAATTCAAAGTTGCAGGATACAAAATCATTATACAAAAATCAGTTGTACTTCTCAAGGCAAATAACAAACCATCAGAAAGAGAAATTAATAAAACAACCCCATTTATAATTACATCAAAAAGAATAAAACATCCAGGAATAAACTTAACCAAGGAGATGAATAACCTGAACACTGAAAGACATGTCATTGATTGTTAATCCTCACTTGAGGATATTTTTCAATGGGAAAAAGATCCTCAAGTGAGAATTAAAAAAATCAAAACAAAAAAATCTTACACATGAAAAAATTAGAATACCAAACTAATAATACAATAAGGTGCCACCACATCTATATAATAATAAAAGCATAATATGCTAATCAGACCAGACATCCTTCCAGACAACCTTCTGGATGGAGACAGGGCTGCAAGGGAAGCCCGGGTCCTGGGTGCCAGAGGGAAGCCAGTGTCGGCAGCCTGAGGAAGGAAGGCCTGCTCTTGCACAAATTTCGTGCATCAGGCCTCTAGGATGATATAATTGGTAATTTCCATAAACATATCAATGTGGACTCCAAAAAGGATAATTCATTAGCTTTCAATGTATGCAGCATATGACATTTTAATACAAACCACCATATAATAACAGATAACACCTTTCTTCCCATTCGATAAATTCAATGTAGGTTTTGGGGAGGTTATAAGAATTGTATGAGGCAAATGTGGAAGATTTAAAAATGGCAGAGATTACTGACTATCCATCCTTTCAATGGAATGCTGGCACCTCCAGGGATTACCTGATTCCACAGGGGTGTGGGGCTTGCTTTGTTTGCCTGGCTATTTTGCACCTCCGAAGAAAAGTGAACTTGTAACATCGAATTCTCCTTTGAACCAGTTGTAACACTTGACTGATTCCTTCATTAATTAATGAGTGAAATATCTTTGGTATGTGTTCATTTTATATTTGTCTGAGAGTTGTGCTTACATCCTCTTCTAAACTTCATCCTTCAGTAAAATGAATACAAAATGGTCCCCATGCCTCCTCAGAGATCTCACAATATAGTAAGGAAAACAGCCAACTAGGATGAGAGTAGGTATTACAATAGAGATATGACTAACCAACTAGGAGTAAGTATTACAAGAGAGATATGAATAACATATGAGAAGTAAAATAAAACCCTTTTCTGTCTGAAAGATTTAAGAGAGTCTTACCTCTTAAGTTACAATTATATAACAAGGCAGGGGCCACGAATCCAGGGCCAACCCACCCACTGCCTGCTTCTGTGTAGCCCATAAGCTAAAAATGTTTTTTACATTTTCTTAACATTAGGGGGAGGGAGGAATCAAAAGAAGTATGATTATCTAATGACATGTGAAAATTACATGACATCCAAGTATCAGTGTCCACAAATAACATTTTATTGGGACACAGCTACACTCAATGTATTATCTGTGGCTGCTCTCATATTACAATGACAGGGCTAAGTAGCTGTGAGAGACCTTGCGTGGCACTCTCATCAATCCACACGCACACCATAAACTGCAGTATCTGTAATAATAAAGGTGTAATATGCTAATTAGACCAGACAGCCAAACGGCCTTCCGGACGAAGCCAGGGCTGTGAGGGCCGAGCCTCTTGCACGAATTTCATGCACCGGGCCTCTAGCTGAGTTATAACTCAACAGCATTTCAAGTTCCACAGGTATCACCATACCACATTTTTTAAATTACCACTTGGTACAGATCATGTAAAAATAAGCAAAGAAGAGACAAGTGGACTTTGAATGTCACGCTTTAAAGGCACAGAAGGGTATGGGTTTTGTTAGCAAATCAGATGGTAGAACATTGTGCTTCTTACCCAATGACACTACAGTTATGCTGAAAGATAGACTATACATCAATAATACCAAACTCTGCACTCATCACAATATTCTCAACTAACAGAAAAGCCATACTCTGAAAAATTCCAAAATTCTAAAAGGTTATTATCACCACACAGGACTTCTTCACAAAAACAGAAACAAGACTGCATCCAAAGTAAATTTCCAGGTAGCTCATTGGTTAGCCAACAAGGAAAGTCATGGTACCACTTACCAGTGGTGAATCCATTAAATTGTATTTGACTGCAGCCGCCAAAGAAATGCATCCAGAGAAAACAGACTCTTTAAGCCTATTAGCCTTTTGGTCAGAATGGCTGTTTGAAGAGTTGAGGTTATTGGGAGCAAAATCAATAGTATATTTTTAAAAAACAAGGCAAATGATTGCAATTGGCTTTCCTTGACTCCTAATGAGTCAAATATATAGCCAATATTGCTCAATGATCGAGGAGTCAATGCCAAGTTTTAAAATGGCTCAAGAATTAGCTCCTATGAACTGTCTGCATGGGGAAACTACAGGCGACAATATTCTCAGATAAACTCAGCAAACATTAGTCCAGAACAACCTCAAGTGGAATCTACTAAGAGACATTAAAACCGATTTGGGCAAAAAAATATGCGTGGAGCAGAGAAAGGATTGGACATCCTTTCCACCTCTGTTACTGAACACTAAATGGCCTTTGTAATTAGTTTTTGCTGCACATTTGATGCTATTTCTTAATGAATTCTACCTAAAATTATAAGGCAAAACTTACATGGGGATAATACTGTCAGATTGGCAAGTAATCATGAGCAGTTATACATACTTCCCAGCTATCAAACATGAAACCGAGATGGGAGATCTCCATCCCCACATCAACTTGCAGTGCATATATTTTCCAAGCTCCAACTCCACTTCCAGCAGGCTTTTTCAGACTGCACTGCAAATGCAAAGTAAATTTCCATATTGCAAAACCCACTTCACTGTGCAATGGAGGCGCTCCCTTCTAACCTTCAAATCGAAGTTTGCAATGTTATGCTAAAGGGCAAATATTAAACGAAAAATCTAATAGAGTTCTGAAAATGCCTTCTAAGCAATGAATATGCTCAATTAAAATCATGTGCTCACAAACAGATGTCAGTATTTGGCAGGACATATCCGAGTGAAAAGGCATTTTCAAAAGTGAAATATGTAAAATCTCATTACTGATCTCCACTGACAGATGAACATTCGCATTCAATTTTCATGATGAGAAACACTAACTTTTAATTACAATTAAATAAAATGTTACTTTCCACAGAAAGATTTCATTGTTCTTATTAAGAGACCGGAATTACATAATGTTATACTAGATTAAATGGGTATTTTAAATGTATGTGGAAAACTATACTACATGGGATTGGTCCACCTAATCCCCCCAAAAAAGTGCTTTTCCAACATCTCAGTGAATGTAAACTCCATTCTTCAGGTTAATCAAGCCAAAAACACTTGAAGTCACCCTTGACTTCTCTTTATCTCGCTCTCTATATCCCATTCATCAGCCAAAACGGTTGGCTTTTATCTGTAAAACTATATCCAGAATCTAACCATTTTTCATCCTATCTACCATCCTGGTTCAAGCTTATCATTATCATTCATCCAATAATCTTCTAACTGGTCTCCTTATTTCTTCTTTTAACTCCCTATTTAGCCTATTCACAACAACCACAGACTCCCTTTAAAATTTTAAGCCAGATTATGTTACTTTTCAGCCCAAAATCCTCCAGTGGTTTCCCTCTCCCCCTCAGCATAAAAAAACCAAAGACCTTATGGACAACAAGAAACTACATGATCTGCTCTCCATCCACCCAAACCCCTTCTCTGACCTCAACTCCTTCCACTTTCCCCCGGCTCACTTTCAGCCACATGTCCTATTTGGGGGGTTTGTGCCAACGCTTTTTAATCCTCTGCCCCAGACTTTAACTTGTTCTTCCACTGCCTAAAATGATCTGTTCCAGATAAATCACCTCTCAGAGCAATGGTTCTCAACCTTCTTAATGCCACGACCCTTTAATACAGTTCCTCATGTTGTGGTGACCCCCAATTTCATTGTTACAAATTGAACATAATTAAAGCATAGTGATTAATCACGAAAACAATATGTAATTATATATGTTTTCCGATGGTCTTAGGCGACCCTTGTGAATGGGACGTTCGACCCCCAAAGGGGTCACGACCCACAGGTTGAGAACCGCTGTCCCAGAGGCTGTCTGTGCCCACCGTGTACTAGTATAACTAGCAACTATCCTTTCACACTGCCCTACCTTCTGTAACCCTACGACTCTGCATTCATTTTCTACAATAGCACATACCACCACTTAACATCTTATATATTTAATTAATTACATTTCCTCCTACCCTGTTAAAATACAAGCTCCACAAAGGCAGGAAATGTGTGTGATTTGTTGAGGGTTCTACCCGCAGAGTCTAAACCAGTGCCCGGAATAAATTTTTGCTCAATAAAAGAACAAAGCAACAACAGCAACACATTTTCTGTAAGTAAGGCTTCTTCAGCTCCTCTTTCTTATGTAAGTAAAATATGCATGCATCCATTCCAGCATTAAGTGATATGTATCCATAAATATATAAACTAATTGCAAAATAGCTATTTCAGGAAGAGATGCATTTCCAATTTTATTTTACTCTTTGTTTGATAATTATTTGCCCTAGCCGGTTTGGCTCAGTTGATAGAGCATCGATCGGCCTGCAGACCAAAGGGTTTGATTCCAGTCAAGGGCATATGCTCAGGTTGTGGGCTTGATCCCCAGTAGGGGGTGTGCAGGAGGCAGCCAATCAATGATTCTCTCTCGTCATTGACGTTTCTCTCTCCCCCTCTCCCTCTCTGAAATTGATAAAAATATATTATAATAAATGCACGCATCCACGTTCATAACGCTGATTTACCATTGCGCTCAGTGTTTCCTCCCAATCGGGCCGCTCTCGGGGGTGGACGTTTCTGTGTAGTTCTGGAACAAAATCATCCTCTTCAGAATGTACCGAGGACTTCATCTTCCTAGAGATCAAAACGTGAGAGACTTTGATAAGAATTTATACTTCTATAAAAACTTTCCAATGACTACAATTCAAAGAACAGAAAATTATGTGAGATTTAAAGTTTACTTAAAAGAGCTTTGGTGGGATAGTATTGTTCCTCTATTTCTACTCTAGTTTTCGGAGATCTTTCCCGATGTACCAAACACCTGCTTTTATTCCAGGAGATAAAACTGAGGTCTTTAGCTAGTTAACCTTTATGATCTGTGATAATCCTATATAATAAAGAGCTAATATGCTAATTAGACCGAACAGCAGAATGACCATCGGGACGACCTTCCGGATGAAGTCGGGGCTGCAAGGGCCAAGTCCCTTGCACGAATTTCATGCATTGGGCCTCTAGATATTATATAAGGACTGATTTTTATCAGTTCAAAATAGTTGGTACCTTGAAAAGATTTGCAACAGTGGTCAATATTAAAGAACTGCGCTAAGCATTAGTAAAATTTCAGGATGAAGGGACAGATACAGTACTTTTTTTCCAATTTATGGAGGACAGTGTATTAAACTAACATTCTCAAGGAGAATAACTATGAATTTTAGACAAATCATATAAAGCTTCTTGCCTGAAGGCACAAGAAAGCAATCCATACAAATAGAATATCTGGGGCTACATTCTTTGAGAGAAGAAAACCCATGAAGCAAATTCCATACTTAATCATTCCTTTTGTATAACATATAACAGACTATACAAATCAGTTGAGGATAATATGATAGTGTAACTAGGCTGAAGAGGCAGAGGTTGGATGTTGGGGTCATCAAAGCAGATGGGGATTCAGGGTAAAAAAATGCCACCCCTCAAAGACCTGTAGAGGAAGAGTCCAAAAATAGACATGGAAATTCCCCTCAAATTGTGAACTGATTCCTCAGCTTGTAAGTATGTAGGACAAGATGCCAAGAAACCTATCAAAAAACAGCTGCGGGGTAATTCGTGGGCCCAGCAGACATTTCACAGGCTGGCCAAGCTGAGGAAATGGAGGTTGGCAAGCACTGCCCCAAACAGAGGGGCACTGAAAAAACAAACAAAACAAATAAACCTGGACTCTCAACTGAGACTCCAGAAAAGCCATGCCTCAGGACTAAGGACAAAATAGCAATAGATGAGCTCAAACAAAGCCCCAAACCAAGCCTCGGGCATGGTCAGAACTGTCAGAAGAAAAATTAACTCTCTTCAGAGGAAAATAACATTCTACAGGCCCCTTGCAAATTTTTCACCCACCTTGTCTGGTAGCCAATAAACATTATAAGGCGAGCTTTAAGGAAACAGGAACAAATGAACAAAATTTTTAAAAAACGCAGTCAAAACAGAGAAAGGGTCACGTTTGATTCGGATTTTAGAATTATCAGAAAGGGACTTAAAAGTGGCTATGACGGATTTCTGGCTGCTGGTTATGATGTAGAAAGCATCACTCCCAGCCTAACAACAAGACAGATAATCTACGAAATCATAACTTTTCTTGAATCCATCAAAAAACTGAGGTCTCGTGGCAACCCACTACTAGCCTCAACTCTAAGGAAAGACAGGAATATCCAAGATGATCTAACTCACAAGCAATCACTAGGTGATGGTGAACCTATGACACACGTGTCAGAGGTGACACGCGAACTCATTTTTTTGGTTGATTTTTCTTTGTTAAATGGCATTTAAATATATAAAATAAATATCAAAAATAGAAGTCTTTGTTTTACTATGGTTGCAAATATCAAAATATTTCTATATGTGACACGGCACCAGAGTTAAGTTAGGGTTTTTCAAAATGCTGACACGCCGAGCTCAAAAGGTTCGCCATCACTGCACTAGGACAAGGCATGGGTAGAAGAGAGAGACACAACTGGTAAGAAGAATTCAGTATCAAGCTGTTAAAAATATTTATAATTAATGCGTTCAGAGAAAAGTATGTTTATAATAAAATAGATGAAAAGATAAAGTACTTCAAAAGAAACTTATAATTATGAAAAACAAAAAAAAGTTCATCCTAAAAATAAAATATCTTAAATTAAGAACTCAATGGATGGGTTTAACAGAACAATGGGCATGGCTAAAGAGAGGATTGGTGAACTAGCAGATGGTTCTACATTGAAGAACAAAGACAACAGAAACAGAAATACACAAACCAGCATAAAACACAAGAGACTTGGTAAAAGGTCTCAAATATGTCTAAAACTAGCAACTCAGAGATAAGAAATAGAATGAAAGAGAGAAAGGGACAAAAGCAATATTTGAAAAAATAATGGCCAAAAACTTTTCAAAACTGATGAAAGTCATCCAACTACAGATTGAAGAAGTCCTCAAGCAGGATTTTTAAAAAGCATCTATTTAAAAAAACAAAACAAATATATTCTTAAAAACAGCTAGAGAATAAGAGACAAGTTAAACCGTAGCTGGTCTTGCTCAGAGCGTCAGCCTTCAGACTCAAAGGTCCCGGGTTTGGTCCAAGGTTCGATCACAATCCAGGGCACATGCCTGGGTTACGGGCTCTATCCCTAGTAGGGGGCATGCAGAAGGCAGCCAATCAGTGATTCTCTCTCATCATTAATGTTTCTAACTCTCTCTTCTTCTCCCTTCCTCTCTGAAATCAATAGAAATATATATTTTTTTAATCTTAAAAAAAAAAGACAAGTTGACTTCAAAGAAGCAATAATAACAATGTCAGAGGATATTTCAATGGAAATGAGAAGATAATGGAAAAAATTTTCAACTTAATAAAAGGAAAAATACTGCCAGCCTAGAACTCTCCTCCTTGTAAAATCATGTAAAGTAAGTTATTTTCAAACAAAAGATGAAAGAATTTCCCACCAGAAAAACTGGAAAATAAAAGGAGCATTCTTCCCACCAAAAGAAACTGACCCCAGAACTACAGAAATGAACAAAGAGTGTAATAAAGAACAAAGTGTAGGAAAATTTAAGTAAATATTGGTGTTAAAGCTAACTAATGCACACACAAAAATAATATCCTCAGAGGTTTATAATAAACAAAGCACAGAGGATTGGAAACGTACATGAACACAGTTTAAGAGTCCTCTTTTTTGAGAAGTGAAGTAAGTCCAATCTTAGAGAATGCAATAAGTCAAAGATAAAAGTTGCAATCTCTATGGTAACCACTCAAAGAATAATAAATAAATGTATAACTAAAAATCTGATAGAGGAGAAAATTTTGAAAAATAAAGCATACTTGATTAATCCAAAAGAAAGCAGGAAAGAATAAAGGCACAGAGAATGAAAAAGGCAAATAAAAAAAATCAAGATGGTAAACTTCAATCCCAGTACATTATTGTAGTTTTTAAATTGAATGCGCCAGTAAGCAAGCATGTGGAGAAACTGGAACCCTCACTCATTGCTCGTAGAAATTTAAATGTTGCAGCCACTGTAGAAAACAGTTTGGCAGTTTGACAAAATACAAATACCTTATGATCCAGCAATTCCATTCCTAGGTATTAAACCAAGAGAAATAAAAACATATATCCACCAAGAACGTGTACATAGATATTCATACCAATATTATTCATAATAGACAAAAAGTATGAACCACCAAAGTGTCCATCAACTGAAAAATGAAGAAACAAAATGTACCAGGTCCATATAATAAAATTATTCAGCCATTAAAACAGAGAATGAAGTGCTGATTCATGCCATTGCATGGATGAATAGTAAAAGCCTTTTGCTAAATGAAAGAAGTCAGAAACAAAAGGCCACATATTATTTCATTCCATATAAACAAAATGTCCAGATTAGTCAAATCCATAGAGACAGAAAGTATATTGGTGGTTGCCAGGGACTCGGGGTAGGAGGATATGGGAGAACTACTACTAATGAATAGGAGATTTCTTTCTGGAATGTTCACAATTAGATAATGGTGGTAGTTGTATAACTTTGTGAATATATTAAAAACCATTTAATTGTAGAACTTAAAAGAATGAATTTTAGTATGTGAATTATACCTCAAAAACGAGTAAGTGGACTAAAAAAAAGTCCATTAAAATAGATAAAGGAAACACATTTCACAATGATGTGTCAAACGAACAGGGTGATATAATAAAATCTGTATGTGACAAATAACACAGCTTTAAAATACATAAAGCAAATCTGAAAGAACTAAAAGGAAAAGAGATAAACCCGCAATTACAGTTGCAGATATTAATAAACATTTCTCTGTAACTGACAGAATAATTGGACAGAAAAAAATGTCGTAAGTATACAGAACATTTGAAACCAGTATTCCAACCTGAACTAACATAGAACATTAAACCCAACTACACAATATGCATTCTTTTCAGGTACATCTAAAACATTTATCAAAAGACAATATGTAGACAATAAAGTAAATCTCAACAAAGAATTTAAATTATGAATGAAGTGACTTGTGACCATTCTAAAATTACACTAAAAATCAATTACTACAAAAAAGATAACTACAAATTCTCCCAAATGTTTGGAAATTAAGAAACACATCTCATTGTTTTACCTTACACTTACACAATGTTATATGTTAATCATATCTCAATAAAGCTGAAAAAAAGAGTACCTATTGTATAATTTTATTTACATTAAGTTCAAAAACAAGCAAAAATAATCTATTGTCACAGAAATCAGAATAATGTACCTTTGGGAGAGGTACTGACTAGGAGAGGCAAGGGGCTTGTGAGATGCTGGAAATAATTTCTATCTTGACTGCATTGTGTTACCTGGGCATATACACCTATATAAATTCTTCAAACTATATATGCTTATGATTTGTGGACTATGATATGCAAATTATATGTAAATAAGTTTATTGGCAAATGTTACATATTATTTTAAAAGGTATAAAAATTATTTATATGCATTGGGTCATGTAACAATGAATCAACACCATAAACACTTAATATCTATTTATTTGACTCTTGTTCTCTTTAAATTATGGACTTATTTAACCCTTAAAGTGATTAATTATAGTTTTATTAATTATAGTTTCATAAATTGAG